ATCTAGCCATCACTGTATAGCCATTGTCAAAATCACTCAGATATTTTAACTTGCTCATTCTTTAGTTGCTGCTAATATACTCCACCCTTTGACAGGTGCCATTGTAAAGATATAATCAACATTATTCACTTCATCTTTCAGGGTATATATAATATATATATATATATATATATATATATATATATATATATATATATATATATATATATATATATATATATATATATATATATATAATGTGTGTGTAAAAAACAGATTAAATTTGTATCTTGTAATACCTTTTATATTGGACTAACAGAATTTTTTAATGACAAGCTTTCAGGAGAACCTCCCTTTCTCAAGTCTGAAGCTTTTCTGAGCAAGACGACATATAGAATTTAAAGCACAACTCAACTTTGAATTCTATGTGTCATCTTGCTCAGAAATGCTTAAGACTTGAGAAAGGGAGGTTTTCTCGAAAGCTTGTCATTAAAAAATTCTGTTAGTCCAATCAAAAAGGTATTACAAGATAAAAAATGTTATCTGTTTTTTACATCTACATCACTGGACTAATACGGCTACAATCTCTGCTTATATATGTGTGTGTGTGTGTGTGTGTGTGTGTGTGTGTGTGTGTATATATATATATATATATATATATATATATATATATATATATATATATATAAAAAAGAAGTAAGGGCTGTTCCCAGGGCTAGTAACAGTAATCTATAACAGTAAAAACCAAACCAAATGGTCTAAACAGTAATGCAACAACAAGTAGGCCTATACAAATATGAGATGGTAGAGGGTAAAAAGTCTTGCTAAGACAACAGAATAAAGTAGGGGTATAATTGTCACATCCTGCTCTGTTCTGTGGAGATGTCTGGCCTTGGCTTCTGGTATCCAGTACTCATTTTACAATTCTTGTTTAGTTTTTCTAGGTTTCCTGTTTTTTTAGTCTATGTCTGGTTTTCTTTATGCTGGGTTTCTGGGTTCATTCTTATATTCCGTCCCTGGATTTCCCAGTCTCTTGGATTCATTTAAATGTTTGTTTTATGTTGCCACACCCGTTTGTTTTCCATCATTTCTTTTTTGTTTCAGTGTCCTGCAGGCAGCTGCTCAAGGCTTCTGCTCTTTCTTGCAGGTAAGTGCTATATATGTCTTCTTTGGTTCTTTTAGCGAACATTAGGCAGTGTAGGACCTGCCGAATATGGGGTACATTGGCGTTGTGGCAGGCTTATGCAATGTATGATCATATAATGTAACTAAATCCCCATACTTTTCATATATAGTACTTAGTTATGTCTCCTCTTGTTTTACCTTGTATCTCTTGTCTTGTTTTATTTTGTCTTGTCTTGTATTCCCAGTTCATGTACAGTCCTGTCCTGCCCTGTTCTTGTTTTCCTCATGTCTTGTGAACATGTTCTAAATTCTGCTTTCTGTTCTGCTCTGGTTCTGGGTTCTCCTAGTTTTGTCTTGTTTTCATGTACGGTGCCTATATCTAGTCTTGCCTTGTTTCTGTACTGGATACACTCCTGCAGCAGAGCCTCCCTATTCAGCTCCCGGGAGGTCTGCTTAATTCCAAGCTCCTAGTTCCTGGGATCCGCATAAGCTGATTCAGGGTTCTGGTTGTGGCTGCACAAACACTGGTGCTCAACACCAGGGGGCCTGCAGTTACCCTGCAACAGACCCTGACCTATCCACTCTCACGCTAAAGTCTCCCACTTATCATCAGGCATACTGGGTCCCGGTCCTTAACCACCGCCCGGACAGTGTCTGGGTCCCGGGCACCGGACCGCCACCCTGACAGTATGGCCGTAGGCACTTGGAGTTCGTGGAGTGGACTTTGCAGCTTTCCTGTTCTGTCTGTCGTGTTATGCCTGGTTCTTCTGCATGCAAGAGATCCTGTATCTGGACTAGTCTGCTGGAGATGGCTTCCTTATTTTTGTCGTGGAGGAGGTCAATCTGCTAAGCGGTACGGTGGTTGCTTCAGGTGTTTTCTTGTGATGCTTGGTTCCTGGTACCTTGTTCTAGTTCCTGTTGGTTATTTGGCATGCAAGAGTTCCTGTATCTGGACCAGTCTGCTGGAGATGGCTTCCTTATTTTTGTCTTGGAGGGGGTCGATCTGCTAAGCGGTACGGTGGTCGCTTCAGGTGTTTCCTTGTGATGCTTGTTTCCTGGTTCCGATTCCGGTTTTGTGGCAGTGCTCCTGTTCTGGCGGTGATCTCCATTCGTTGCTGGTGGTTCCTATGCAGGAGGCCTCTCCGGTGGGGGATCCTTGCCTCCGTGGAAGTAAACAAGACTTCGTTGCAGGATCCGCTCGCCATTCCTGGTCTCTGCCTGGGAGCTGTTTGGAGCATCCAGAGTTTGCTCCTTAACAGGGGCGTTATGTCACATCCTGCTCTGTTCTGTGGAGATGTCTGGCCTTGGCTTCTGGTATCCAGTACTCTTTTTACAATTCTTGTTTAGTTTTTCTTGGTTTTTCAGGTTTTCTAGTCTGTCTGGTTTTCTTTATGCTGGGTTTTCTGGGTTAATTCTTTTATTCCGTCCCTGGATTTCCCAGTCTCTTGGATTCATTTAAATGTTTGTTTTATTTGCCACACCCATTTGTTTTCCATAATTTCTTTTTTGTTTCAGTGTCCTGCAGGCAGCTGCTCAAGGCTTCTGCCCTTTCTTGCAGGTAAGTGCTATATATGTCTTCTTTGGTTGTTTTAGCGAACATTAGGCGTGTAGGACCTGCCAGATATGGGGTACATTGGCGTTGTTGGCAGGTTTATGCAATGTATGATCATATAATGTAACTAAATCCCCATACTTTTCATATATAGTGCTTAGTTATGTCTCCTCTTGTTTTACCTTGTATCTCTTGTCTTGTTTTATTTTGTCTTGTATTCCCAGTTCATGTACAGTCCTGTCCTGCACTGTTCTTGTTTTCCTCATGTCTTGTGTACATGTTCTGGGTTCTGCTTACTGTCCTGCTCCGGTTCTGGGTTGTCCTAGTTTTGTCTTGTTTTCATGTTTGGTGCCTATTTCTAGTCTTGCCTTGCTTCTGTACAGGATACATTCTTGCTGCAGAGCCTTCCTATTTAGCTCCTGGGATGTCTGCTTAATTTCCTAGCTCCTAGTTCCTGGGATCCACTGTAGCTACATCAGGGTTTTGGTATGTGGCTGCACAAATGCTGGTGCTCAACACCAGGGGGCGTGCGATTTCCCAGCACCAGACCCTGACCTATCCACTCTCACGCTGAAGACTCCCACTTATCATCAGGCATACTGGGTCCCGGTCCACGCACCCCCGCCTGGACAGTGTCTGGGTCCCGGGCAACGGACTGCCATCCTGACAATCCTCAGGAGCTGATCCGTCCGGATAATAAAAAAATTCATATAAAAGTCTCACTAATATATCAGGATAAGATAAGGGTACAATCCTCAGGAGTTGATCTGTCCGGATGGTTAAAATATCCGTAAATGTGAAGAGACAAAGGGGAATGTTTTTACAAGCTGTTCCTTGATTGGCTGATCCAATTTTTTGGCACCAATATTAATTTACATAACCTTAAACTTTCTATGCCAGGTATGATGTCTTATACCATTTTGAAAAAGCCTTGTAAGGTGAAACGCGTTAATGGTTTTAAATTGTGTATTTTAGCAATAAAGGTTTTTTTGGTTACTTTTTTCTTGTCCCAATTCTCTTTTAATTGTATTGTATATGCACTTTTTATTATTACTCTCCCTGGCATTTTTACTGTACCCTGTACTCAAGCAATCCGAGGTGGGGATTATTCCACTGTGTTAATAGAACAGTATCTTCTGCTCTATATTTGTGAGTATATTTTATATATATATTTTCATTACTCATTCATTATATATTGAGAGCACTATTGCTGTTTTTTATATATCCTGGAACATTGAAAATTTAAACCGGATTGACGGACGCACCTCTCCACTATATCCTCTAGCGGGGATTATACCGCTATATGCCCTTCACTCCAAAACTGGTTAAAGCTCTCACAAATGTGAGTTTATTATCTTCTTTTTATTCATTTTATCATTGGATCTTGGCTATATTAAACTATCGGCTGTTTGTTGTGTTTCCCTTTGTCTCTCCACATATACGGATATTTGTGTGCGTTTTCAGCAATCTCTGTATGTATTCAGCATTTTGTGTGCGTTTTCAGCAGTCGCTGTGTGTGTGTATCTAGCAGTCTGTCTGTGTATTCAGACGTCAGTGTATGCATTCAACAGTCTGTGTGTGTATTCAGTAGTCCATGTGCATTCAGCAGTCTGTGTGTGTGTGTGTGTGTGTGTGTGTGTATTTAGCAACGTGTGTATGTATGCAGAAGTCTAAAGGGAGAATGGTGAGAGAAATAGAACCAGAATAACCACATCTGTTATAAATGGCATGAGCACGCATTGTTATATACTATATACATACAGTAACATACATAGACATAGCAGACACACACTCACAGTATAAAGACACTGACACAAGCTCACACAACAGTATGGACACATAGTTATGCACATTTAGTCAATGTCACACTGCTATACACATACTATTATACACATTGATTCAGGCAGTATATACACACACTGACTCACGTACATAATGCTATATGTAAAGTCAGACAAAGTACATAAATTGTAAGCAGTTTATTAGTGATTTAGGGAATTTTCTCCTTACAAATGTTCTCATTCTCTTATGTACATTGTGTCCTGTGATGTCACACATATAATTAATTATGCAAATTAGCATGGCTGGTATTTTTTCCCCAAAAAGGTGGCAACCCTAGTCTTAACACATAGCTATGCATGTAGCACTTAACATTTTTGATTATTATTATTCAGAGATAAGTTAAAACTATTGCAAGCGGGGGCGGAGCTTGACCGCCGACGAAGATGGCCGCGAACTGAGGGAGCTCCGTGGCGGCAAAAAAGTAAAGCTCTCACCAGGGGCGACTAAGCCCGCTAAAATTAGCATCAGACCGAGCACACCAACCACCCACCACTCCGGTCCGCAACAGTATGGGCGGGGGGAGGAAATCAAAGTCCGGAACGGCCGTGGCTCCCATCTTCAAACCCAGGCCGGACAAAGAGGCGCCAGGCATGCTTAGCCAGCAGGCCTCAGACTCCGACTCTGAGACCAGCACAACCAGCCACAAAGTGGATGCACCATCAGCACCCCTCACTAAAAGAGACCTGAAGGACATGCTGACAGAGATGAAATCACTGGTGGCAGAGGAGCTGACAAAACACCTGGCCCCACTCAAGGAAGGACTCACAGACCTCACCAAGCGGACGCAAGCGCTAGAAAACAAAATGGAGGAGGTAACAGCCACCACCTCCACCCACGAAGCCTCCATAAAAGAGCTACAGGAGCAATTCACATACCTAGAAGACATGCAAGAAGATCTCAATAACAGGTCCAGGCGTAATAATATCCGCATCAGGGGGTTACCAGAACCCTCAACGCCCGAAGCACTCACTGCCATACTCCATGAAGCCTTCAGCAGCCTGCTTCCTGACGCCCTACCATCAGACCTCCTCCTAGACAGAGCCCATAGGGCCCTCCGACCGCCCTCCTCGAGCCCCACACAGCCTCGAGACATCATCATCCGCTGTCATTACTTCCACATAAAGGAAGCGATAATGCGGGCGACAAGGGAGACCCCACTACAAATAGAAGGTCATACAGTACAACTCTATCATGACCTAGCACCCACCACCCTACGAAAACGGAGGGAGCTGAAACCCTTGACCCAAGCCTTACAAGCACAGGGGATACGCTACTCCTGGGGTCATCCCTTTAAGCTAATGGTGCGACACAACAACCGCACTTTCACGCTAACTAAACCGTCGGAGGCCCGAGACTTTGCTGCACAACTAGGCATCAGCGACCTCAACGGAGCACTGCACACAGCATCACAACAGCCTATGCCACAACGCCGACCGTGGGACCCGCAGCCTCAAAGAGACCGCACCAGAGGACAACGCTCTTCACAGACCTACGCCTAAACCCAACGACTGGAGCCGTGACCGCACCCCTACTTCATCCACGACCCACAAGATCTACACCACAGCATATTCCGGCACCCCGGCACCAGATGACAACCGAATCAACACACCAGCAGTGCATGGACTGCCTCTAAGGGGCCCGGGGTGATACCGGAGATCTGCAGACCTCAATGATCGCGCCCACCGCTGGCACAGTTCACCGCCGGGCTCCCCTCCACCTGACCCTGGACCTGTTGCCCTCCGGCAAGACCACGTGGCAAGCCGGAATGCTGCACCGCTCCCCTCGGCAGCACCGGGAGAGGACTCCCCCCGAGGGTTGTTCACTCCCCAGCTCACAAGATGAAGTGCCACATGAACTCAACTGACACTGGGCGCACAGTAAGACCCACAATGGGACACTCTGGGCCTGGGTGCGGGGAAGGGCGGTGGGGAGGGGGGACTGTTGGGGGCCCCGGACCCCGGGGAAGGAGTGCACCCTAGGAGGCGCTCGGGACTGGTCCCTTAGCTTGACGACGGCCGCGGGGTTGGGGGCGCCTTGGGCCCCGCGCCTGGGGGGGGGTGGGCGGCCCCAGTGGCCTTCCGCTCCCTTCCCCTGGCGGTGGGGGCCCGGCGGTCCTGGCTCCGTGGAGGGGGGAGGCCCCAGGGGAATACAAGATGAAGCATTGTCCTCGAGTATTGTCGCTACACACAAGGGGAGCGCCCAACATCTGGGGACGAGTTGCGGGAGGGAGCGGACGGCCTGGGGCCCTGGCGGCCTTCCCCCCCCCCCTCATTGGGGCGGGGGGGGTGGCGGGCCGTGACGGCTCCACAGCCGGAGGAAAGTGCATGCTGAAAACCCATAGCTCATAACCACTCTTGCTGTGCCAGACGATATCCCATAGAGGAACCACACTTACTGGAGCCCGACCCATGCACCACACTAACAACACCCACACCAACAGAATTACTAACACACCACTCAACAAGACCTAAAAGACGATAAGGGGTGCGGCTCGACATGTAAATAGTTCAAGCAGGACTCAGGAGATCAGCCCCCACCTACTCCTCAACATCACCTAACCCCATGCCCTCACCCCCCTCCGGCCCTGGACACTTGGAGGGAGGAGGCAGGGATCGGGGGAAAACCTGACTCCCACCTGTTGCATCCTAAGTTGACCCCACCTAAGTTCTGTTATAAGTTACGACTGCCCAAACGAAACAGAAAATTGCCTGCCACATGCCCTGAAGTAGACGACCACCTCTCCCCCCGCGACTAGACCAGTACCGCCGGCCTTGGACCCTCCAGGCCCGAGAGACCGCGGACAACACAGTCCACCCTTGCTGGCAACCGTAGTAAGCCCAGCAAACCCACCCTCTACCCCACTTCACCCGCCCCACTAAGTCCCAACGCTGCCCTCTGGGGACCACCTGGGCTCCAAAACCCCCTCTTGACCATAGTACCCCTCTTCCACAAGTCACGCTCTACGAGCGATATAACCCGTACCATGCCACTTAATCTACATTGTGTCTCCATAAACGCTAAAGGCCTCAATAACCCTAAAAAACGACACTCCCTTCTACGCTGGGCTCACGGCCAAAAAGCGGACATCCTTATGATCCAAGAAACCCACTTCACCCCCCATAAACACTTCCCACTCAAGAACAAACACTACAACCGCACCTTCCTCGCTAACTCGCCGGATGCAAAAACCAAAGGGGTGGCCATCATACTCAAATCATCATGCCCACTGACCGACATCCAGGCCTTCCCGGACAAACACGGGAGGTACCTCACACTCACCGGCAGAATAGGCCCCACGACCTACTCCATCTCCTCCCTATACGCCCCTACAACCCCTGAACCACTGTTCTGGCAAACATTCTCCGCCCACCTAACAGCACACAGTGCCACATTCACCATCATAGGCGGTGACTGCAATGCCACACATCAACCAACCCTGGACCGCACTGCCAGGCCCCGGAATGAACCACGATCCTCCGTAAACGACACCCTCTTCTCCAATTTTCTAAATACACACACCCTATTAGACATCTGGAGAGCCCAACACCCGTCAACCCTAGACTTCACATACTACTCCCACCCCCACAACACCTACTCCCGCATTGACTACTTTCTGGTTTCTCCAAACGTCACCTCGCGAATCACACACACATCCATTGGTCACATCACCTGGTCGGATCATGCCGACATCTCCCTAACCCTCTCCATCCCAAACATGTTACGCCCATGGACATGGAAACTCAACTCACAACTTCTTCAAGACAAACTAGTGACCATATCCATTGCAAAAGACATCACAGAATACTTCACCCTAAATGACCCCTCTGTATCCTCCACAATCACGTTATGGGCGGCCCATAAACCGGTAATAAGGGGCAAATTGATAGCTCTAGCGACTGCACGTAAAAAACAACACAACAAACTATTAATGGAAACCATAACCGAAATAGGCCGACTAGAAACCCTCCACAAACGCAACCCGACCCCTTTACACCTTGAACAACTCACAACAGCCAGGTCCCTGCTCAAAAGCCTCTCTCTTGCAGCTACCACTAAAGCTCTAGCATGGACCAAACAAAAATACTACGAGAAAAGCAATAAAGCAGACTCCATGCTAGCAAAGCGCCTCAAAAACTTGACCGAAACAAAGCGTATCACAAAAATCCGCACTTCAAACGGTGCGATGAGCGACATACCACACACGATAGGGGAAGTCTTCCGACACTACTTCACCTCTCTATACAACCATACCCCAGATCCCCCAACAGAATTGATCCAATCCCAAACGGATAACCTCCTTAGGAGGCTCTCCCTCCCCTCCCTCACCGAAGACGCCAGATCGAGGATAGCAGCAGACATCTCTCCAGAGGAAATAATAGCGGCAATAAAGACCCTGAAACCTAATAAAAGCCCAGGCCCCGACGGGTTAACGGCCATCTACTATAAATCCTTCGGGGACATACTTACACCCAGACTAAGCAAAGTCTTTAATGCGATGCTACAAGGGGAGCCACTACCCGCTGACATGACACAAGCTAACATCACTCTCTTACCCAAACCAGGAAAACCCCACGACGAACCAGGCCACTACCGCCCCATTTCCCTCCTAAACATTGACCTAAAAATACTGACCAAAGTCATGACAACTAGACTTAACCCCTACCTACCGAAACTCATTAATCCGGACCAGGTAGGCTTCATACCACAAAGACAAGCACAAGACAACACGCGGAGAACCATTGACCTAATATGGTACGCCAACCAAAAACGCCTCCCAGCGATCATACTATCCCTGGACGCCGAAAAGGCGTTTGATCGCCTCCTCTGGCCCTACCTTTATGCAGTACTCCATAAATTCGGATTCCCGCCAGAATTTACCCAATTCCTGAAAGCCATGTATCATACGCCTACTGCCCAACTTCTAATCCCCAACATCACCCCCCCCTCCTTCCCGATACTAAACGGCACCCGTCAAGGATGCCCCCTCTCCCCCCTCTTATTCGCCATTTCCCTCGAACCCCTCCTAGAGGCCATACGGATCAACCCACAAATCGAGGGAATCAGGATAAGGGACGAAACATTCACCGTCGCTGCATACGCAGACGACATCCTCCTAACCCTAACTAACCCCCTCCCAACCCTAGAGGCCCTAATGTCAACCCTACAAGAATACTCAACGATTTCAGGATATCAATTAAATGCCACAAAATCAGACCTCATGCCGCTAAACCTCAACAATATCACTACCTCCACCTTGAGAAGTAACTTCCCCTTCCATATCTGCCCAACAGAGATCACATACCTAGGTATCCAAATCACCAACGACACCACCACTCTATACACTGCCAACTATCCCCCCCTCCTGCACAAAGCGTACTCGGACCTAGAACGCTGGAAACCGATGTCCATCTCCTGGCTCGGAAGAATAGCGTCGGTCAAAATGAATCTCCTACCTAAATTCCTTTATGCCTTCCAAGCGCTTCCCATCCCCTGTAAAAAATCAGACCTCAAACACTTGCAAACAGCCATAGACCGATACATCTGGAATGGAATGAGACCCCGAGTCCGCAGATCCACACTATACGTACCCAAGCCTTCCGGAGGGCTAGGCCTCCCTAATCTCACACACTACCTACACGCCGCACACCTAACACAAATACAGCACTGGCACCTCCCCACTGCCCACAAACGATGGGTAGACCTGGAACACCTCATCTTCGGCTGGGACCATCCCTCCCAATATATGTGGACCCCAAAACCATACAGACCACTGCCACCACCCACGTCACCAACGATCACTCACTCCCTAGATCTCTGGGATCGCCTCAGCGATAAGTTTGATCTCTCCACGGGCCTATCGCCCCTCACACCGATTCTCCGCAACAAAATGTTCCCACCAGGCCTCACACCAAGACACTACGCCCACTTCGAGGACAGAGACATAGTCCGACTAGGACATCTCTACCCCAATGGTAAGCTCCTACAATACTCAGAAATCCCCAACCCTGAATCCCTAACCACCTACGACTACTTTCGATATCTCCAACTCCGAAGCTTTGCAGCAACGGATACGGTACGCATGGCAGCCACCTCGACCCTAACTGAGTTTGAGAGGGATACCCTCCGCTCTCCAGCCAGAAAGAGCCAAATTTCAAACCTATACATAACATTAACCACACACCACACTCAGGTGGCCCTTCCTTACATAGCAGCATGGGAAAACGACCTGGGACCTCTTGAGGATCCCACCGAATGGGCAGACATATGGGCATCCATAAAATCCATATCAATCTGTGTCACCCACAAAGAGCAAGCTTACAAAATGCTCTTTAGGTGGTACCTCACCCCCCTCCGCCTGAAGGCAATGAACCGATTACCCAATAACCTTTGCTGGAAATTGTGTGGCGAAACCGGCACTTTCCTCCACTGCTGGTGGACATGCCCCAAACTCACTCCTCTATGGAAAACAATTACAACACTCTTAACCAGAATCCTTAACAAGCCAATACCCCTGGACCCCTGGGCCCTCCTACTCTCTAAGCCCATTGATACCTTCACCCGCAATGAAAACAAACTCATAGCTAGAATAGCACTGGCCACACGCAGAGCTATAGCGGAAACTTGGTCCACACCACACATACCCACTCAACTCCAAATAAACACTAAAATAACTGACAACATAGCCATGGATAAGCTGACAGCACAGGTCCATGACACCCCAAACTCATTTCATAAAGTATGGGACCCATGGCTGGAAGGACACAACGCACTCCCATGGTGATACAAGGCTACCACACAACCCACTCCACCAACATCAACCCATAACAAAAGACAAAATGCAGCCCATCTACCCAACCCCCAACCCAATCCACCAAATCGGAGCTCCGGGGGGTAACCAGGAGGGCAGCACCCTACCACCAGCCCCATCGAACACCCCCTCTTTCCCCCTCCCCCCACCCCCGACACACCCACCCCCCCTTCCCTACCCATCCCCTGACTTGTGACCTTACTCACGAGTCAGGTACTGCTGCCCAATGCCACACAACTAACCACCCTGCAGCAGCAACCTACACTGACGCCAACCCCCACCTAAAAACGACCATCCACGACAACCCTGGCGGAACAGATATACAAGCGCCATACTATCCTCAGACAGTTAACTAATAAGACCAACACAACGCTCAGCACCCCAACTACGACCTCCTCATTGAAGCATGAATACTAACAACACAAACAGAGGAGCTGAATATACGACTCCCTACAAACAGGGATCCGCGACAGACGGGATAGTAATGATGCTTCGGCCCAAAGTGCCAGACCCGAAAGCAAACGAACTAATGTCGTACCCAACTAGTTTCTCCCAAATAACCACCCCGTTCTTTTCTTCTTTCTGTACAAAATGTTCAAATGTGCAAATGAAACCTGAAAATGAAAATAAAGAATCTTTAAAAAAAAAGATAGTTTGCCATGAGCTTTTGG